GTGGAAACTCAAGTCAGGCTTTCAGGTCACATCCGTCTGTTTCGAAAATGAGCTTTGAGGACTGAGTGGTTTCGCCACTTTCTGAGGCCACCCATAAAAGCAATTTGAGGGGTCAGCTCCTAGGCCTCAACACAGATCTCATAACCTGCATTCGTTGCGTGGTCTAGAATGTCAAGGTCTGGGTGGAGGGCATAGGAGGTGTTTCCCAGAACCTTGGATGAATTTCCAGCTCTTGCCATTTTCTGGGTATGATGATGTTCCCGGTCTCAGACCTCTGTTCCCGCATCAAAGCAGGCTGAGTCGAACTGGCGCACAGAAAGAGAGAGAGAGAGGCTTAAGAGAGGAGCAATAGGCCGGGCACAGTGGCTCACGCCTGTAATCCCAGTTTGGGAGGCTGAAGCAGGCGGATCACCTGAGGTCGGGAGTTTGAGACCAGCCTGACCAACATGGAGAAATCCCATCTCTACTAAAAAGACAAAAAATTAGTGGAGCCCATGATGGCACATGCCAGCTACTTTGGAGGCTAAGGCATGAGAATCGCTTGAACCTAAGAGGCAGAGGTTGTGGTGAGCTGAGATTGCGCCACTGTACTCCAGCCTGGGCAACAAGAGTAAAACTTCATCTCAAAAAAAAAGTAAACCTCGTCTCTACTAAAAATACAAAATTAGCCAGGTATGGTGGTGCATGCCTGTAATCCCAGCTACTTGGGAGGCTGAGGCGGGAAAAGGGCTTGAACAGTGGAGGTGGCGGTTGCAGGGAGCCGAGATCACGCCATCGCACTCCAGCCTGGGCAACATGAGAAAAACTCCATCTCAAAAAAAAAAAAAAAGGAAAGAAAAGAAAGCGGGAAGAGCGACAAAGCTGAGTCCTTGTCCTTACTGAAGTCCCCAGTCTAGATGTGCTTGTATGTGACACCAACAACCATTATCTTATTTTTGCCTTCTTGGGGACCCATTTCACAGGTGAGGACACTAAGACTTCATGAAGCCCTTGCTAAGGAGTCTTAGCCTCAGAGGCGGCCCTTACCAGTGAGCTTGAATCTTCTCAGGATTTGATGTCTGAGGATCAACATTGGGCAAGTCATGTCACCTCTCTGAGCCTTCCCTAGTTTCCCTCATTTGAAAATTGGAGCCAAATTCACATTCTTCCCTTATTTGCCGGCAGGCTAATTAGGAAGGCCAAATGTCATAAGACTCATGAAAGTACTAGGTCAATGATAAAACATTGGACATATATCATAATTAATATGATTATTTTATGATGAATTACCATAATTAGACTGGGTACAGTGGCTCACACCTGTAATCCCAACACTTTGGGAGGTCGAGGTAGGTGGATCACTTGAGGCTGGAGTTTGAGGCCTGGCCAACGTGGTGAAACCCCGTCTCTATTAAAAATACAAAAATTAGCCAGGCAAGGTGGTAGGTGTCTGTAATCCCAGCTACTCTGGGGGCCGAGGCAGAAGAATCACTTGAACCCAGGAGGCAGAGGTTGCAGTGAGCCAAGATCGCGCCACTGCGCTCCAGTCTGGGTGATAGAGCGAGACTCTGTCTCAAAAAAAAAAAATCACCGTAATTATTGGTGGAGGTGCCTAAGGAGGAGCGAAACTGACAATAAAATGTATCAGTCCATTAAAGTTCATACAGTACTTTAGAAATGAATATTTATGATACGTTCATAGAAAAACAGTTTTGTAGCCACCCCCTAACCAAAAGCAAAAACCCTCACTAAAATGATGGAATAAAACCCAGGTAGATGGATTGAACACCAACCGGCGTCTGAGATAAAATGGAAAGGATAAGGCAGATCTTCATTCGATCGTGACCATGGATGCACTAGAGATCTGGAGGAGTGCGGAAATCCATCAACCAGCTTGGGATATCCCAGGAACGGCAAGAGCAGAGCTAAAGACAGGAGCTCAGGGCCGCAAACCTCTCCTTGTGTTATGACCTGGATGACCACTCCAACTTTTGGGTGAGGAGTCCCATGGAGACAGGGCGGGGATGTGGGAGGGACACTGAAGGTGTTGTGAGTGACTTGTCAGTAATTTTGCGCTACTCAAAACCCAGACCAGTCCACTCTCAGGATGCTCATTTTGTACCCTTTTCCGCCAGCCCAGCTGAGTATTTCCAAAGAATGTAGGAAGCATCCATTCTGTGCTGAGTGCACTTTTCCCTGCTTTGAAGGAGACAGATGGGATTTAGTCTGGCCCTTGCTCAGAGCCTCTAATTCTACAGAAGGAAGGAGAGAGACCAGCGTGAATTGAGTGCTGGTTCCAATCTAAGCTCCACATTCAACCTGAGATGCTGCAGGCAGGTGACTCCACCTCTTAGTGCCCCAGTGTCCACAGCTCAAAATGGGATTGATTGATTGATTGATTTGAGACGGAGTCTCACTCTGTTGCCCAGGCTGGAGTGTAATGGCATGATCTCAGCTCACTGCAACCTCCATCTCCCGGGTTCAAGCGATTCTCCTGCCTCAGCCTCCTGAGTAGCTGATACTACAGGCATGCACCACCATGCCCAGCTAATTTTTATATTTTTAGTAGAGACAGGGTATTTACCATGTTGGCCAGGCTGGTCTTGAACTCCTGACCTCAAGTGATCCACCTGCCTTGGCCTCCTAAAGTGCTGGGATTCTGGTCGTGAGCCACCACACCTGGCCTCAAAATGGGATATTCACAGTTTCTGTGTCATAGAGTGTCTGGGAAGACAATATGAGTTAAGATATGTAACATACACAGAGCAGGGCCTGCATGACATCTAAAGCCAGGATATTTTAGCCATTATTGTGATTACAAAGAACATTCTCTTCCTGGGGGTTCTTGGAGAGCAGCGCCACTCAGAGTGTGGTCTCTTCACCAGTGCCAGTTTGAGAACTACTTGTTGTCTGTCTCCAACTAGTTAAATACAGAAACTGAACATGAGGTGTAACTTACCTTGTCACGGACAGGTTTACACACTATGACTAGCACAGCTGTAGAGTATGGATGGAGAACTTTAACTGCAGCCAGGATGTCTGGGTTCCAGGCAACCTCTGTCCCTTAATATTTTTAGGACCTTGCACATATGACTTTACCTTTCTGTGCCTCAGTTTCCTCATCTGCAAAATGGGGTGGATAGAAGTACCTGCCTCATAGTATTACCATGATCATCACTGCTGTACCGCAGGATCTGTAATCTGTCCATTATCTCATCAAATCCTGCCACAAACACCATGAGGGAGGGAACGATTCCCATTTATTCATGAAAGCACTGAGGCTTACAGAGATTACTTTATTTGCCCAGGGTCCAATAAATGGAGAAGACTGAATTTAAGTTCAAGACTGTCTGATACCAATACCTTTATTCTTATGTCATGTGACTTTGAGCAGCTGACTTCACCTCTCCAAGCCTCAGTGCCTTATTTATAAATTGGAACTAAGCAACACTCACTGCACAGGACAGTTATGAGGATCAGTGAGAAACAGTGAGCAAAGAGCTTAGCACAGTTTTCAGCACATCAGTTTCCCTCCCTCCGTCATAGTATTTGGTCTGTCTTCCTGATTTCCTTCCTTCCTCCCTGCCTTCCCTCCCTCTCTTCCTCCTCCTTTCTTTCTTTCTTTCTTTCTTTTTTTTTTTTTTTTTTTTGAGAGGGAGTTTCACTCTTGTTACCCAGGCTGGAGTGCAATGGTGCGATCTCGGCTCACCGCAACCTCCGCCTCCTGGGTTCAGGCAATTCTCCTGCCTCAGCTTCCTCAGTAGCTGGGATTACAGGCACGCGCCACCATGCCCAGCTAATTTTTTTGTATATTTAGTAGAGACGGGGTTTCACCATGTTGACCAGGATGGTCTCGATCTCTTGACCTCATGATCCACCCGCCTCGGCCTCCCAAAGTGCTGGGATTACAGGCTTGAGCCACCGCGCCCGGCCTCCTGCTCCTTTCCTTTCTTCTCTCCTTCCTTCCTTCCTTCCTTTTGCCTCCTCTCTTAAAGCCTATTATGGACCCACAAAACTAAAGGAGACTGTTATGATTGGGTTTGTCCCCACCAAAACTCATGTAGAAATTCAATCCCCAATGGTGTTGGAGGTGGGGCCTAGTGGAAGGTGTTTGGGTCATGGGGATGGATCCTCCATGAATGGTTTGGTGCCATTCTCATGGTAGTGAGTGAGTTCTGGTGAAACTGGATTAGTCTCATGGGAATGGATTGGTTCCTGTGAGACTGTGCTCTTACAAAGCCAGGATGCCCCTGGGGTTTTGTCTGCTTTCCCTTTGACTTTCTCCTTCATGTCATGATGCACCAGGAAAAAAAGCTCTCACCAGAAGGTAGTGCCGTGCCTTTGAACTTCCCAGCCTGTAGAATCCTGGACTAAGTGAAACTCTTTCCTTTGGCTGGGAGCAGTGGCTCATGCCACACTTGTATCCTAGCACTTTTGAAGGCTGAGGTGGGCAGATCACTTGAGGTCAGAAGTTTGAAACCAGCCTGGCCAACATGGTGAAACCCCATCTCCACTAAAAATACTAAAAATTAGCCGGCTGTGTTGGTGGGTGCCTGTAATTCCAGCTATTTGGGAGCTGAGACGGGAGAATCACTTGAACCCGGGAGGGAGAGGTTACAGTGAGCCAAGATCACACCACTGCCCTCCAGCCTGGGAGAGAGAGCAAGAGTCCATCTCAAAAATAAACAAACAAACAAAACCAATCTTTTCCTCTAGAAATACCCAGCCTAAGGTATTCTGTTATAGCAACACAAAGGAAGGCCTAAAACTGGGACCTTAATGAAACTCCAGGCCAATATGATCATTTAACTCTCAAAGGAACTAAGGCTCAGAGAGGTTAAAAGATCCACAAGAGGTCACACAGCAGGTGAGTCGCAGATTCAGGAAAAGGACACAGACATCTGACTCCCAGTTTGGTGCTCTTTCTAGAGGTGATGCTTAGAGGTGTCCTGAGTGAGTAGAAGGAGCTGCTGAGGCTGGGCCCTAAGGGAACCTTCTGACTCTCTGAATCCTTCCCGCAGCCTCATATTCCTGAAGCCCAACCTGGAGACGCTGGACTTCTTTGACTTGCTGTGGATCGTGGGGATTGCAGACTTTGTTCTGAAGTATATCACCATCGCCCTCAAGTGCCTCATTGTGGCCCTGCCCAAGATCATCCTGGCCGTCAAGTCCAAGGTAGGCACTGGCTGGGGTCACTGGGTATCCCCAGTTACATGCATTATGCAGAAGATGCAGGGTGCCTTCTGAGGGTGGACTGACAGTGGCATATAAAACAAACAGAGCCTGAGCTCGTGGCTCCTGTCACCCACCTCTTCTAATTACACGAAGCTGAGCGTGGCTCTTTGTCATCACCACCTTGTCACACCCCTACCCTCTATGTGCATTTCATCACTTTGGTTGTTCACAGCTATCCTTGATGCAATTTTCATCTACATTTCGCCTGAGAGAGGGGAAAAAAGCATATTAGCCTCCCTGGGTCCTACTTCTCCCAGGGAGGGAGATGCCTGATAGGTTTTGACTCTCTGCAGCTTCCAGGAGCTCATTTTATAAAGGGGACTGAGGCTCAGAAGGAAACAGCTTCATGATTGATTAGTGATGTCTGCCACAGACACTGGAGTGGGGAATGAGAGCAATGATGCTTTGCAGTGTACCACGTACCACCTGAGAGAGGGGGGAAAAAGCATGTTAACATACTCTGGGTCCTGCTTCTCCGAGGGCAGGGCAGCCCTGATAGGTTTTGACTCTCTGTGGCTTCCAGGAGCTCATTTTATGATGGGAACTGAGGCTCAGAAGGAAAGAGCTCCATGATTGATTAGTGATGTCTGCCACAGACACTGGAGCAGGAAGTGGTGAAAACAATGACGCTTTGCAGGGTACCATCGAGAAAGGTGTCCAGGCAGGTGTTGGAATGAAGAGGTCTTGGGGGATAGCCATTAGATTAGAGTTCAGAGGACTGAGTAGGGCTCAGACAAGGTATCACCTGTAGGACATAGAGATCGCCAGTGGCTCTGTAAGGTGACCTAAAGGGAATCTGGACCAAAGCAGACAGAGTCAAGAATCTTTGAAGTTTCCTGCTTTCCATTCTGTAAAAGCAGCCATCTTTCAAATTCAGAAAGCTGAGAAGTGTCCCAGGCATTGCTTGGCAGCAGAGCGGCTTAGAAGTGACCATCAAGCTTGAGTGGCAACTGACCCAACCCATGGTCCCAACCTTTGGGCCTGTTTAGGTGCTCCCACTTTTCGTGTCCACTCCCTGCCTCCACTGCGTGATTTAACACAGTGCTCTCCAACCTTTTAGGCACCAGGAACCAGTTTCGTAGAAGACAGTTTTTCCACAGATCAGGGTGGGGATGGTTTGGGGATGAAACTGTCCACCTCAGATCATCAAGCACTGGATTCTCATAAGGAGCATGCAGCCTACATCACCCATCGCGCGTGCAGTTCACAATAGGGTTTGCGCTCCTAGGAGAATCTGCTGCCGCTGCTGCCCTGACAGGAGGCGGAGCTCAGGCGGTAATGCTTGCCCACCCACTGTTCACCTCCTGCTGTGCGACCTGGTTCCTCACAGGCCACAAACCAGCACCAGTCTTCAGCCCTGGGGTTGGGACCGCTGATTCATCTAGTGGAGCCAAAATCCTAGGCTGCTGAGGTTTTCTTAGATGAAGCCACAGCTCTGGTATCCAAAAGACAGTGCCAGGAAATCTAAAATAGAATACAGACAAAAATTTTTAAAAAAAAAGAGAGATGTGGAGAAGAAAGGCCAGAGGGGAAACAATAGGCCTAGGAAAGTCCTCCCGGTTACCCTCCCCGAGACCATGATGACCAGAACCTTTTGCCTGTTGAGCTCGTGCAGGGTACCAGGTCGGCACCGCACTTGACACTGGAAAGCGGCTTGAATGGGCTGCATACGGTCATGTGCCTACTTCTTATCCAATCAGCTGTTGCCAGGGGAGGCAATGTTAGCTGGTGTGAAGAAACATGGCTGCCTGGGGAGGCTTTTTCAACTTGGGTCTTAGTTGAGCCAGGCAAAGCAGTGAGGCATAGTAGGCCCATTTTCAAGAAGGAGCTCAGGATCTTCCCCAAAGCCTGGGCCTCTTCTCCTTGTTCTAGATCTCAGAGTATAGCACCTCCCTCCACCCCACTGTGCGCACCAATAACCTGGAAAGCAGCATGGCCCAATGGCTGTGCCCATGGACTTTGGCATCAGCCACATCTAATTTCAGACCCCAGCCATGCGCCTCTCCAGCTGTGTGACTTTAGGGAGGTGACAAAACCTAGTTTCCTCGTCTGTCAATGGAGAGTAACAGTAGCACCTTCCTCCAAAGTACTCAATTCGTAAGAACTATTGATTGTGGGAAATATCAGGTGCTTTACTCCACACCCTGCACCTAGTAATTGCGCAATGAGTGATTCACAATACCTATGTTGCCTAATCTCCATGACTGCCAGCTCTGCACTGACTAGCTGTGTAATCTTGGATGAGTGACTTAGCACTGAAGCTAAGTAACTCATCTGTGAAATGGGATAATAGTTTTCCAGCTGAATGTCTTCCTCTGGCCCTTTCAGCTACCCCCTCCATCTTTCTCACCCTGCTCTCTGCTTGGGGGGCCGACCTACGTGAACTGTGTCAATGGGCTCCTGCGCCCATCAGCTTCCATTTGGGTTCAGCCAATGGGAAGCCCAAGAGGAGAGGGAGGCAGAGGTGTTCATGCCCCCAGCATATTAGTCTCCTATGGCTGCTGTGACAAAGTGCTACAAACTTAGTGGTTTAAAGCAACATTAATTTATTATCTTATCATTCTGGAGGTCAGGAATCCAAAATGGGTTTTACTCGGCCAAAATGAAGGTGTTGGCAGGGCCGTGTTCTTCCTCCGTTTTCTAAGACAGTAATGGCAGGTTGAGCGTTCTCCCCTCTCCCTCCCTCTCTCCTGCTCCTTCTCCCGTTCCCTCCCCCTCCCCCTCCCTCTCCCTCTTCCCCTCTCCCTCCCTCCCTCTCTCTTTCTCTCTTTCTCTCCCTTCCCTCCTCTCTCTTTTCTCTCTCTCTCTCTCTCTCTCTCTCTGATTTCTGCCTTCATTGTTGCATCTCCTGATTCTCGCCTTCCTGCCTTCCCCTTATAAGGACCCTGCAATGACACTGGCCCCACTAGAGTAATCTAGGCTCATCTCCCATCCTTAATCACATCAGCAAAGTCTCTTTTGCCACATAAGTTAATATTCACAGGTTCCAGGGATTAAGGTGTGGACAGCATACTCACCTCAGCAGCACGTATGCAAACATTGGAATGATACAAAGATTATCATGGCCCCTGTGCAAGGATGACACAAAAATTCATGAAGCATTCTATATATATATATTTTTTTTAACTAAAAACAAAAAAATAGGGCCAAGTGTGTTGGCTCAATGGCTCAAACCTGTCGTCCCAGTACTTTGGGAGGCTGAGGCAGGAAGATTGCTTGAGGCCAGGAGTTTGAGACCAGCCTGGGCAAGACCAGCCTGCTGGCGAGACCCTGTCTGTACTAAAAATTTTAAAAATTAGCTGGGTGTGGTGACACATGCCTGGGGTCCCAGCTATTTGGGAGGCCAAAGTGGGAGGACTGCTTGAGGCCAGGCGTTTCAGGCTGCAGTGAACCATGATCGTGCCAGTGTACTCCAGCCTGGGCAACAGAATGAGACTCTGTCTCAAAAAAAAAAAAAAAATTAAATTTTAAAAAATGTAAATAAAGATAATTTTCTAAAAGATATGGACATTTTGGGGGTGGGGGGAGCTTTCTATCCAAGTCTGCTAACTCTGCCCTCCCCATGCCCTTCTGGATGAGACCACCCCTTGTTGATTTCCCTAAACCCTGCCCACACCTTTGTAAATAGCACAGGTATTAAACTCTTCATTTACCTGATTTTAGTATGCCAGGACCCTACTCACTCTACAGTGAGATTTCCCTCATGGCGTGAACAGAGTTTATGAATATTCAGGGCTAGTGTGGCTCATAGTAAGTGCTCAGTACATGTTGGCTACCAGGGTGATGCTTTTAAATCACTGCTGTTCCCATCTTTCCTCCTCCTGCCGCTACTACCCCCCTACTGTTCCAGATACACACACTTATTCCCATTTTACAGACGAAGATGTTGAGACTCAGAGACGCTTGTCAGAACCAGGGTTTGAACTCAGGTGTGCCTTATGCCAAGCCCTAGGGTTTCTCCCAGCTGTCTGACCTCTGAGAATCCTAGCCAGGTGATTGTCTTCATATGCTTCGTGTGATCCTATACTGGCTTCATGTTTTAGGGCTGGGAGGAAGCTTCTAGTTGGCCACCTCCTTGAAACATCTGCTCAGGCTTCTCTCCCCTGTTAGATAATGACAGGTCTGGCCAGCGAAGGTCTGAGAGCTACACTCTTGGCTTCCTGGGGACCACATACGTTGACCAGGAATAGGTTGCAGCCATCAAGGTGGACCAGCTCCTGCAAAGGGGCACAGGCCGCAGCCACCTGAAGTACAAGGCACGTCACCCTCACTTTAGCAATGACACCCCTCACTTCAGCAATGACAGCCAAGCTCTGACCACAGAAACCCAGAGTGGGGGAGAGCTTGGACTGATGCCAGCGTTGAGAAGTGGCAGTGCCTTCCAGCTTTCCTTAGCACCTGTCGGCTGCTGGCATCTTGTTGTCTCTCCACAGCCCGCCAGGTCAGACAGAGGAGCAGGACAGGCAGAGCCCGCAGACTGGCATGTGCTAAGTGACACTTGAGAACAGTCTGTCAACAAGGGATCATTTTTCTGCCTGTTCTAGTAGGACCAGGAGTAACGACTGTAATAGCAAACCCTTAGAGGCCGCTTAACTGTGTGCTGACTACTATCCAAAGTACTTTACGTGTACAAACTCATTGAAACCCACATCCCTGTGATGGTCCTGTTATTATTACCATCTCATTTTCACAGATGTAGAAAATAGAGCACAGAGAGGTTCAGTGACTTGCCCAAGGCTACACAGCTAGAGCTGAAGAGCAAAGTCAGACCACCAGGCAGTCAGGCCCCTGAGGCTGAGCTCTTAGTCTCTCCGCTGTGGTCAGAACAGAGGCGCTGTGCACTTACTGAGGGAGTGGGGCATTGTACAGATTCACTTCCGTAAAGAGACTCAGCGCTGAGAACGCAAAGTTAGACCAAGGCCGCCCAGGGGCCTCCCTGGCTCTCACTACGGCTCACGCTCTGCGGTCTGCAGCATCCACCGCATGGGCACCCTCCTCTTAACAATTCCCCAGTTCAGCTCCAGGGAGAAGGTCTGATTGGCCCAGGTCGTTTTTTTGTACCGGCTATTTCATAGGTCAGCAGCTGGCCAATGAATGGACTGTGCAGGATCATGTGCCTACTCTTTATCCAATCAGCTGTTGCCAAGGGCAGGCTGTGTCAGGGGTGTGAAAAAACGGGGCTGCCTAGGGGTCCGCTTTCAGCTGGAGCCTGGGGTTGAGCCAGGCAAAACAATGAGGCATGGTAGACTCATTTTCAAGAAGGAGCTCAGGATCTTCCCCCAAAGCCTGGGCCTCTTCTCATTGTTCTAGATCTCAGGGTGTAGCACCGCCCCTTTGCTCACATCAACAACCTGGAAAGGACCTCTGACTCCTCCTCTTTCTTCCTTGCTTCTTCCAGTCAGTAACCAAGTTCTGTTCATTTTGTCTCCTCAGTGACGTGGGAGCCCTTCCTCCTTCAGTATCTCCACTGCCACCACCCTAGTGCTCGCCACCGTGAGACCAAAGTAGTCTCCCTCTATCTGTCCACTCCAGCCCCCTCCACCTCATTCTTATCCCTGCAAGGAGCAGGATTCTAAAAGAACATTAATCTGATTGTCCTCTCCTGTCACTTCCCCTCACCTCCACCCAACTTAAGCCCTCTAGGGGCTGCCCTTGTGCTCAGGACAAAGACCAAGCTCCACAGGCAGGCTACAAAGCCTACCCAGCCGGCCCCTGCCCCTGCCACCGGCATCACCCCCTACCACTCCTTGGCTATCCTGTTTCTTCCCTCTGCCCTCCTCCCTCTCATCTCCGCCTCTTACTCATGCCCTTTGGACCCCCAGAGATGCTCCTCCTCCAATGGATCCTTGAGGCTTCACTTCAAAAGTCTCTTCTGGCTCCCCTTAAGTCCAATTCTTTCATAGCATTTCTGATTACCGTGTGTGTGTGTGTGTGTGTGTGTGTGTGTGTGTGTATGTGTTTGAGACAAGGTCTTGCTCTGTTCTGATTAACATACGTGTGTGTGTGTGTCTGTGTCTGTGTGTGTGTGTGTGTCTGTATGTTTGAGATAAGGTCTTGCTCTGTTACCCAGGCTGGAGTGCAGAGACGCAACCCCAGTTCACTGCAGCCTCAACCTCCCAGCTCAAGCGATCCCCGCAGCTCAGCCTCCTGAGTAGCTGGGACTACTCAGTGCACCACCATGTCTGGCTAATTTTTTTATTCTTCTTAGGGATGGAGTCTCACTTTGTTGCCCAGGCTGGTCTTGAACTCCTGGGCTCAAGTGATTTTCCTGCATCAACCTCCCAAAGTGCTTGTATGATTATCACATTTGTTCCTGTCTCCTCACTGTCTGGAAAGTCTGTTTGCCCACCAGTGTATCTGTGAGATCTGGCCCAGCATTGGGCACTGGACAGAGCTCTATAAATGGTGGGTAAGTGAAATGGCAGAGAAACTGAAGTTAGCTCAATCCTGCCCTGTGCCTTCTGGTTTATTTTCAGCAGACAAAACAGGAAAGCTGGGTGTGGTGGCTCACACGTGTAATCCCAGCACTTTGGGAGGCCAAGGCTGGCAGATTGATTGCTTGAGTTCACGAGTTAAAGAACAGGTAGGGCATCGCAGTGAAACCCCGTCTCAACAAAAAATACAAAAAAAAAAAAAAAAAAAAAAATTGGCTGGCCGTGTTTACCATGACAGTAGTCAAAGCTACTGAGGAAGCTGAGGTGGGAAGATTGCTTGAGCCCTGGAGGCAAAGGTTGCAATGAGCTGAGATTGCGCCACTGCACTCCAGCCTGGGCAACAGAGCTAGCTCAGTATTCTTTGAGGTGGGTACTGGTTATTCTTATTGATGGATGAGGAGATGGAGGTTAAGAGATCAGATAGTTCTTTTTTTTTTTTTTTTTTTTTTTTGGACAGGGTTTTGCTTTTGTTCCCCCAAGGCTGGAGTGCAATGGCGTGACCTCAGCTCATTGCAACCTCCGATTCTCAGGTTCAAGTGACTCTCCTGCCTCAGCCTCCTGAGTTGCTGGGATTACAGGCACACACTACCACACCTGGGTAATTTTTTGTATTTTTAGGAGAGACAGGATTTCACCATATTGGCCAGACTGGTCTTGAACTCCTGACCTCAAGTGATCCACCTGCTTCGGCCTCCCAAAGTGCTGGGATTACAGGCATGAGCCACCGCTCCCAGCTGACATCAGGTAGCTCTTACAGTCATGCAACTGCTCCATGGTGGGGTCAGGATGACAGCACAGGTCTTTACAACTTCAAGACCCCAGCTCTGCCTCAAAGGAGTGGGTTTGGAACAAGGGAAGGGAGGCAGGCGTTTGATGCTGACCTATCACCTGGTGCTTCTGGGTTCCGTCCAGATTCTTTCTCACAGTCCAACTCTTCCAAGGCTCTCAATACCCCTATGAGATAGAATTCACTGTCACCTCTTTCTGGATGAAAAAGTATTAGTTTCCCATGGTTGCAGTAACAAATTACCACAAACTTGGTGGCTGGAAACAACAGAAATCTGTTATCTCACAGTTCTGGAAGCCAGAAATCCAAAATTGGTGTCACTGAGCCAAAATCAAGGTGTCAGTGGGGCTGCATTCCCTCCGGAGGCTCAAGGAGAGAATCTGATCCTTACCTCTTTGGGCTTCTGATGGTTCCTGGTGACCTTGGCTTGTGGCTGCGTCACTCCAGTCTCTGCCCCCACGGCCACATGGTCTTCTCCTCTTCTGTGAATGATGTCTCCCTCCGCCTCTTCTTATGAGGATACATGTAACAGTGTTTTCAGCCCAGCTAGATAAGGCAGGGAAAGCTCCCCAAGCTGGTATCTTAATCACATCTGCAAAGACGTGATGATTTTCTAAATAATGTCACATTCACAGCTTCCAGGTATCCTTGAGTGGCCATTATATCCTTTACTGCACTGAGGCTGAAAGAGGTGAGATCATTTGTCCAAAAAACACCCAGTTGCTCAGTTATAGAATCAAAATGAAAATCGAAGTCTTCCAAATCCCAAGGCCATGGCCACTTCTGAGGAGATCATCTGCCAGATCAGCCAGGTGCTGGAGGGCCCGGGCCATTCCTAACCTACAGTTTTCCAGCCATGGTACTTTGAGCAAGTCACTTAATGCGAGCATCT